TGGGAAGTTCTTGAGTAGCTGCACAACTGGCGACTTTTCAAGAAGGCCTCAGCTCCATGAAGATGATAAGTTTAGGCTTGTGTTGTAGTTTATCTTATATTCCCTACTACAGTTCTCCACTTGTTTCCATTAGAAATCTGCCCTCATTTTTATTTTAATACTTCAAATGAATATACTTTATTTTATTTGTATCCATTTTATTCTTAGTCAAGTTCATCCCCTCTTATCCATCTTCTTTCCTTCCTCCTCTATTTTTTCCATCTCCCCTTACTACTGCCCTTTTTATATCTATCACTTCATGGTGCCACCCTCTCCTGTGGATTCACCCACAGCCTTGGTTTTGTTCCTCTATCACTATATTAGGACTCTACCCTGAAGATGGAGGCAGCATGTTTCTCTGAAATGTCTGAAAGACTACACCAGATGATGTTAATCTTCTGAGGAGGTCTTGTTAAACTTATTGTGTGTTAGATTATAGATGGAGAATAAAAATATTACATTACATTACATTACACTGCATTGCATTTCATAGATCTGTTTAAGCAGAAGAGTGACAGCTTCTTCTGCTGTACCATATTTGTTCTGGATAAGACATGTGTCTTTCACACACTTCCCCCAAATACTTTCATAACAGTACTTACCCACTGTCAGGCTTTTATAATTACAAGGAAATATGGAGCTTGTAACTGTAAGATGTGACTAATTTAATATATATAACAGTTACAAAATTTTAATTTACTTGTATATTTGCCTGAATTATTTAAATATCCTGTCTTGACAGAGCTCATATTAATTCATATTTCAGACTATTAAGAAATAAATATAGTAATTTTATTTGAACCATAAGAACTCTGGAAGGTGCAGAAAAATTTCAGCTTAGATTACACTGAAAAGACCTGATAAACATATGCAAATTAGATTAGTAGAAATCAAACACATGCTTTCTTACCTGTCAAGGTTTACCACACTGTGAGCTGTGAACATTTTCATTGCTAAAATAATAGATAATTTTGCTGTCCTTGGTGAAAATGTTTACAGTTCTGAACAAAGATCAGGTGTTCTTGATGTAGTACATACAAAGGGGGACCCAAAAATAACCGGAAATGACCTGTTGCACGCGCATGCTTTGTAGTTATGAGTTGTGCTGCTAGGTGGTGTTAGCTGGGGGTCTCCCGCGACTGTTAGTGAGCTGGCGTCAGTCTGAGTTAAGTGGTTTGTCTGTGGTGCTCTGTTGTGTGCGTTCCTGTTTCAACCCTTTGGCGATTAGTGAGATGGCCGACCAGAAGGAACAAAGAGTGTGCGTGAAATTTTGCTTTCTGTTAGGGAAAACCGCACTTCACTCTTCAAGTTGCGGCAAACATTCACGCGGTTTTCTCTTTGGTCATCTCCGAGCAAGCGAGGAACAAATTTTGCAGACACCCGTCTCATGTGCAAACCTTCGGTTAAAATTCGCTGGACCGTGCTCCATGAGATGTTCGTTTCCTCAGAAAGTTAGTCAATGGTCTTTCGACGATCTTCAATTTCACGCACACTCTTTGTTCCTTCTGGTCGGCCATCTCACTAATCGCCAAAGAGTTGAAACAGGAACGCACACAACAGAGCACCACAGACAAACCACTTAACTCAGACTGATGCCAGCTCACTAACAGTCGCGGGAGACCCCCAGCTAACACCACCTAGCAGCAAACTCATAACTACAAAGCATGCGTGCGCAACAGGTCGTTTCCGGTTATTTTTGGGTCGCCCCTCGTATGTCCTTTAAATCCTGTGGTACTGTGGCCAGATTTGAACTCAAGGATAAAGAAAAGAATGTGATGCCCAACCAGCTGAACTACATGCATGCATAATTACAATAGTGCAAAACACAGCCAATAAAGTTTACAATGTGCCATGAATATGTTTGAAGACAGTCTTTACTGTTCAACACTAAACAGGTCAGAGTAGCAGTAAGCTTATATTAGGAAGATGTTTAGTTAAAATCTTGGCTGGCATACTAGCTATTCTGATTGAGTTTGTGTGTGATTTTCCTCAATCCCTCCAGGCAAGTGGCAGGATAATACCTCAATTAGGCCGCAGCCCTTTCTTCCAAATCCTCTCCAGTTCTTTATTCATCAGTCCTACTATTTGAAGCTATATAGCCTGAGATACTGTCAGCATCTTAAAATAAGCCACGTGAAAGTTGCTGTTTAACCTTTCACTATTATCCAGGCTGGACTGGATACATTAAAAAATAAGAAATGAAAATTTCTGTCTCCTAGAGTCTGATGTGTAATCTTGTGAGTCACAACCAATGTTTTAGGGGAATTATTCAGAGTAGACCACTCTGATGATACAGACAACACATTCCACAAAGTATTGGTAACAGTGTGTCAGACTGAATGATATCATATCCCACAAGATAGAAATTTTCATAGTGACGTCCGTGGTAACCTCAAATCTCATGTATTAAAAAATATTCCAGCTTGTACAAGGTTTCCTATCTAAAGGCATAGTGTAGAATAGTTGAAGTCCAGACATTTTATGTTTGTAAGGAGTATCTGTAAGGTGTGAATGACCAAATTCTGTGCCTAAAAGCTGTTGATTTATGTCAGTTGAACTAATGTATCATAATAGCAGAATTTATATGTATTAAATCTTTCCAGTTTTAATACTTTATTGCAGCAAATTTATAACAGCCATAGCATTACTTTGTGTCTTGCCATTAGTAGTGATACCACTAGTCAGAGTGTTATCAGGTCATAATAATTAATAGTTTAAAGGCTAAAATGAATCTATGTAATATAAAAAACTTCAGTTATACCTCACAGGAAACACACTTTGTGTCCAGTACAGAGACCAGCAGGTTAATGCTGTTAAGGAACTAATTGCTGTTTGTTGTGAGAATCATAAGAAAAACATAAATACACTATGTGGTCAAAATGCATAATTTTTTCGTGTTAAAGCAGGTGGTACCTATAGTAACCACTTTGCTTTAAGGGGTTAATTGTTTGAGGTGGTATTTGATTAACCTGTGGATACAGTATAGAAAGACTGAACAACTACATACTGCCAAAACCTCCAAGAGATACGAATGATATCCTTCCCATAACCTATACTGTGCACTGTTATTGCATTAGCAGCTAAATAGTACATTATTCTTTTTATAATGTTTACTGATATTTTTTAGTTAAATTGTATTGTTAGTGTGTTATGCATGACCAATGAATTGATTGTCCTCTGAGTAATAATAATGTAGTTTTATTACCTTAACTTGACATCTACTTAGGAAAAGAGATAAAATTATTTTCTAGTTTTCGATTACCTGAAAGATATTGCTAATACTGTATAGAATGTTCTCCTGTCAGGATGTGTATCTGTGTATTTCTGTACAATGAGAATTCTTTTAAAATCATAATAAAAGTGAATTAAAGTTTTTACACATTTATGAACTGCAGACAATTCAGACATTTGTTATTTTAAATTTAATTTTGAAATGTTTTATTGGTGTAATGCTTACTATGTGTATCCGTAATGAAGAGAGTTCCAAGAAGATCCAGTCTCTCTGTAAGATTGAATTTCTGATATCACAATATAAAACTAGATATGTAGTTTTCTTAAGGAATATATACCACCAATCAGATAACCAGGAATATTGGGAGCATTTTAACGAACTGGTCTCAGTAGCAGTGAGTCACCAGTTTCAGCTTTAATGTAGTGTGAAGAAGTGGTTAAATACATTCTGTGAACCTCTTTCAGTTACAGAGAAGAAAGAATGAGCTTTAAAATTCTGTTGAAGGGAAACAAATGATATTTATATTTCTATGAAGGAAAGAACTAATTTAATTTTTAAATTTGAGGTTCTGACAGCAGAGGCTTTGAAGAGTTCTGTCTTCTAGGCTATAACAGTGTGTAGACTAGTGCAAGTCAGCCAAGCTCTGCTTGCTGCCTGCATCATGCTAGTTTCTTGTTCAGTTTACTTTTCATCTGTGAAGATAAAGTCAGTATCTTCCTCCAAGACATCAGTTTACTTTTGCTTGAGTACACAGTGTTATGTCACAGAAGACAGAGTTCTTCATCTCATTTAACAGATCATTATTCTTGTGCTTAATTACAAAAATAGAAGTCATAGCTCAGTTGGTTAGGTCTGTATGGCAGTCACTATTGCAGTACTGTTGGTGGGATTACTACATGGACAGTCTGAAGATATTAAACAAAATGATCCCCAATTGTCATATTTGATACAGTTGCATGTTTTATACTGTATTTTTATTCATTTCCTCATATACTGATGGTAAAGATAATTTTGTCCTTGTTCTTAGTTAATTAAGCACTATGCCATGAAGACATGGGGTAGTGGAGGTATAGCTCCACCACTATTGACTTCAGTACTGTGTACTGCTTTACCCCAAGAGAAATTGCCACCTGTACGCATTACATAGGAAGCTGGGTGGGCCTCAAGAGACACTCTAGATGCTGTGGAGAAGAGAAAAATCTTTCCCTGCTGGGATTCTAGCCCAAGCCATCCAGCCTGTAGCCCATCACTGTGCTGACTGAGCTATCCTGACTCCCCATAAACCAATGACAGACATTAAATTTAAATGCAAATATTATGTTGGTATATGGTCCATTCTTACTACTTTATAAGAATTTTTATGATGAAGAAGCTGTGGAGAACAGGTAGTAATTAATCTGCTGTAAGGTTGAGGTTTTCACAGCAGTGATTGCTAAAATTGTGGTCTTAGTAGTTGTGATCCATGTAGGCTTGTATGCGGGTACCAATGTTTCAGAACATGCAACCTTATTCTCAATCCAAAATATGCTCAGAAACGTCAGCATTCGTGTTCAAGGCTAGATGGTGTCAACCCCGATGATCCCAGTAGTAGTAGTAGTTGACTTTCTTATCGGTTGGGTTACCGTACCCACCATTTTTCCTGCCGGTCATGATCCATAGATGACAGAACAATATGCATCATTCCATTGTCACCCGCGTTAATAGTATACATTGGTAATCATTGGTTGAAGTTATGTCAGCGTAAATGTCATTCCGAAGAATGTATCCTCCTCGACAAATTATGTTCCTCGGTGGCTGCAAGGGCGGCAATGTATCCAGTTTTGATATCTACTTGGACAGGAGCGGTAGTATGGCGACAGTGTTTTTGTGTGTGGTTTATGGTTAACGTTGAATGATTCGAACTCATTGTTACTAGAGTGATATTAGTGACTATAAATGGTTGCGAAATTGCAGTTTGTTAAAGTAAGTGCAATACTAGTTTTTACCTACAAAAGATAATTTTAATAACAGAAAAATGAAGTTGTACTTTTACTTTGACAAGATGTGAATGAAAGCAATTTCAAAGGTTAAGAAATGAATTTGATGAGTGGGAGCAAAAGGTACAGTTTCCCCTGGTTTAAGTATTACGCTGTGGAGACGTATGGCAGAGCTACGGCCCTTCGGTGCTGACCTAGACGTGAAGGCAACGAGCAAAGACCCTGCTCTAGCAGGACCGAATTTCTTACCAAGGGGGAGGGTTTATATAGTTAATGTATTTTGAGTTGTGGCAGTGAGTATAATGGCAGTCCAACTAGAATCTTAATTCTTTTCACAGTTTGGATTTGACTATGGCTTTTCTTTTTAAGCCAGTATGCATGCTGGCAAAAGGGAAAATCTGATGCTCACCAGGAGCCAAACCTCGGACATACAACTCATTGCCGTTTGGGGATGGGGTTGTATGTGTAATGTACTTTGAACTGTAACGAAATGCATAATGGTCATATCATTTAAAAATCTTGATGTTTTCATAGAATTTAGAACTCACTTGCTTTCTCTGTAATATGGATTTGTCCATGACTTTGTTTTTTCAAACAGTTGATATGTATCCACAAATTTATCGAAAGACCAACGTTGTACTTCTGCTGGTGCATTGTATGTCTTACTCTTCAGGTGAAAACTGAGTGTGAGTTTTCTAGCAATGATGTTTTTAGAAAAGATATTCTGGATTTGATTTATGCTTGTACACTTTTTTATAATAAGGTATATTTAGTGTATGAAAATAAGTGAACTTTGTACGTCACTGCTTTGAAACACTAACAGTCATGTATACATATATATATATATATATATATGTGTGTGTATGTGTGTGTGATATATATGACTACGTTTCACAGGAACATGTGGAGAAATATTTATTTATGTACTGTTTATTAATGAGGCATCAAGAAAAGCTGAAATCTTTATCAGATCAAGGAGGATGAGTTTGCAGGAACATGTGGCAGGGTTGAGGGAAATGGGTAGTGCACAGAAGCTATGTCTCACATGAATGGATGAGACTATTTGAGGGACCTAAACATAGATTGCAGGGTAATATTAAAGCAAATCTTAAAGATAGAGGATGTAAGGTTACAAAATGGATTCATCTGGCTCAAGATGGGATCTTGTGATTGTGGTAATGAACTTCAGTGTTCCATAAAAGGCAGGAAATTTCCTAACCAGTTAAGTATAGCAGCTATCAGTTTCTAAAGGGATATACTCCATAGAGTTAGTATTAGTGGAGAGAATTAATTCACTTAGCTCAAACAGTGAATTTACTGGCTACAGACTGATAAGTTGGTACTCCTGAGAGATTTTTTTTTTTCTTCATGACTTCCATACTAGGATGGGGCCTGCCCAGCCTCCTATGCAGTGAGTACTGAAGGGTCTGCACCCAGAATAAAGCAGCTGGCGAATCAAACTGACCATTCACTACTGCTCAATACCGAGATCTGGAATACATGGAGATAGAGTGTTTTTACACACTTCCTATACACCCTCATGGTGTAATGCTTAGGCATAGGAAGAGTGGGACAAATAGTCATCAGTCACACCCAGAGAGTTGAACCATATTTTAACATAATTTGTCAACTTTCAATTAGTGGCAGAATTTCTTTGCAGTATTTTCTGGTCTGTACTGTAGCTGCATATCTACCAAAGTATACAATTTGTGAGTTTATAGGCTTCATATTCCTGGTACTCATTTCTGTTAGAGGCTGAGTGAACCCCAGGGCCATATCAAATAATTTTCCTTGGGAGTAAAGCGCAGCCAGCGCGTAAGGGTCAGATAAATATTGTCTTATATTGTAGACTTACCTGTATAAAAACATATACATATCATAACATGTATGAGTGACTGACTATACATGGGGTTTGGATTAGTATTCATTACTACACTTCACAAATCACTGTCGCACACAGACTACTGTTCTCAGTCTGTTACATTCTTCACTACCCATTTATTGGTAGTAGCTTCCAATGATGGACATTCTCCTTATTCTGGGTTCCCAAACTATCCCCATGCCTCAGCTGTCAGCATCTAACTCCAACGGCTCACAAAAACTGAACTGCAACAGTCCTCTAACTGATTGCTCAACTAACTCACTTCACTCCACTGTACTCAAATGCACTGCACTCGCTAACTGAACTGAACTGGGTTGGTCGAGTTATATAACCTCAGAGCGGATCCATAGAGAACACCGCTTGCATCACCTCTTCTATTGTTGCATGACGCGTTCCTCTGCTGCATGTGTACCAGCCATTACCTACCATGCTACAATATGAAGAAGATTTCAAACACTGGCTTGTTAACTAATTCAGTCATGGACAGCTGCATGTGGGAACAAATATAAAATGCTGTGACAACATATTTGAGCCTCATTTGCATGTCAGCAAACTTCTACCAAGTTTATTTATTTTTACTATATAGAGCACAGACATAACATAACATCATCTAAATAATCCAACCTTTCATTAAATTTTATTTTTTTTGGAGACATAAACAAATGTATCATGTTAAGAAAACTGTTCTTTGTCTCTAACTAGATTCCGTAGATGGTCTCTGCCTTTCAAATTCTCAAACTAAAGTTTAAAATTTTGTATGCGTAATACTGGAAGTGGAAGTAAATTATTTCAGGTACGTAGTGATTTTTCATAAATCCATATTTAATTTTATCCATATTTATTTGTAGACCCTTTTAATTAGTGTCTAAAGGAATTTAAATATTATTCTTTAAGTTGTTCTTACCTAATACATTGTCAGCATAAACAGTTTGACTGCTTTGGGCCATTCAACTCTAATACTTCATGATTATCTCTGACTTCACTCATGAAATATTCTGAAAAAATTAAAAGGTATTATCATATACATAAGTTAAACACATACCTTTTTTTAACTGAAAATATTAATTTGATATAACCTATCCCCATGTTGGAGGATCACTTTCACAATATTGTTTCTAATTTCCATTCCTGAAAACCATAATTTCCATTTTGCAACCCATGGCTAAACTGGTGACAAACGACTGTCTTAACTTGAAACCATAACGTTGCTAAGAACCATTTGTATTACAAAGTTATATTGGTTATGTAGGAAACATCAGCTACTGATATCAGGAATATTTGATAATTTCTTGAGGAGTTATGCACGGTGAACAAACGTTTTTCACTCAGGATTTGAATTCTTAATGGACATTTTTTTTTGTTTGAGTTGTTTTATTTTGTGGAGGGCAAGAAATAGAGTGACATTGTAACACTGCTGTTTATCACATACTGCTGAGTAAGGCCCTGCTTGTATCAGGTGTTCCTGACGTAGGTTGTCACAGTTGACCAAGTGCAACTCATTCCATGTTTTTAGGAGAACACGTAAATCCTTTTAAGTATCATGAGAGAGATAAATTAAATTTATACATGAAATTCAAAACAGTGCAACCTGGCTTAATTGCTTCCTTGGAAAAAATTTCTGGTCCCAAGTGGAAACTAATGTAAAATTACCCTTAGTGGACATTATGCGCAGACATAATTGATCAAGTTGCATAATTGTTAATTTATTATTTTTGTAATGCTGTCTGTATAAATTAATACATTTATTTATACATTTATACATTTATACATATTTATACATATATACATATATATATATTTATACATTTATATATTATACATTTAATATATAACAGGTATTATAAATTCTGTTCAGAACCTCCTGTCTTAAATGGATTCAGTATTTTGTTGTATATCTTTCATTTGTTTGCAAACCTTTGATGAATTCATTCAGCACTCTTTGCAGATGAATTATCAATTATATGACAGGTACCTACTGAACAGGACATGTATAAAGTGAATTGTAAGTTCTGATATCTGACTGGACAGTGTGGGGTAGTATTCACTCCTTTTATTTTCTGATCTTCCATTATTACCCACAAGTACAGAACTTCATTCTTACTGGAGTAGCTACAGTACAGTTATGTTCTGTTTTGTTCTGATTTAGTAGATATAAATAGCTGCTGATTTTGGTCATGTGTTGCTGTAAGTTCTGATTTTCATAAATCAGTATTATTCATTAACTCTGTTACTGTATTGCAGGCTGCAGGATTTCTCCCATGATGGCTTACGGAAGCCAGTCTGTTTTTAAATTATATAACCTACTCTGTATCTAAAGCTGGCTTTCCTTACAAAGTGTTTTCAAGATTTGTAAATTTTGCTTCTTGAAATTAAGATTGCAGAATAATTTAGTATGCTTGTGTACATTTTCATGTATATCACATATATGAGAAAGTCAAAGTAGACATCCTTTGAAATTTTCCAGATTATAACCTTACATAATTTTGTTAGCGTAAATATTAATTTTTTATGGGTATTATAAGGCTTAATTATAATGTGTAATATATGAAGCAGAATGTTTGTTTCTGTCTTTGTTTATTCTGAAAGGTGCAGTTACATTTTGAATGATCATTTTTCGCAGAGAAGTGTTTTGATTGGTTGACTTACACCAAGAAGTGTTTTTTTTTTTTAGTGTTCTTGGAGGTCTGATTGATTGTTGCAAAATAAACATAAATAAACAGTAAATTAGTAAATAAATAAATAAATAAAGACCATGCCTGGCCTTATGCAATGCAGAATCAATCAGTGTTCTTGATGAAGTGGCTTGTGCAGTGCTTCAACATGCGTCTTTTAGTCCAAACTAACCTTCCAGTTATTTACATCTATTTTGGCCACTGGAAGAGCCAGTGGGAGTCCAGAAGTTTAAACATAATGAGCGGGTCTAGCAAGATACCCATCATTTCTTGTGGAAACTTCAAAGAACTTCAATGCAGCTGGGTATGTGAAGCTAGAACAGCTTTGGAAAAATGCGTGGAGCTGTAGGGTAATGGTATGGAGAAATAGAGGTGCCCAAATGTGGAGCACATGTAGAAATATAAGGCAAACAATAAAATAAAGTCAGCAGC